AACCACCTGCTTTCCCGCACAAGCGGCTTGGACAGATGCAGCTTTAGCCTTCCCAACTCATTGTCCAACTTCATTATCTCGGGAATAAGATGGGGGTTAGACCGGAGGAACATCACCATCTCGACACGGTCGGGCATCATCGCCTGCCGAAGGTTGTTGTACACGAATCCCAGCCCCGAAAAGTCCCTCTCTGATTGGCAACTAGTGCTGTCAATGCAAAGGTACACGCGAGCAAGCATAGACAAGATGGGGAACTTCGCTGCAGAAACAACGTTGCCGTGGGCGTCAAGACGCGGGCTGCCGGCATCCTGCCAGAAACCGAGGACGTCATAGTCCTTCGCGGGGACGGCGGCAGGCAGCTTGCTGTATTCATCCACCTCCTTCTCCAAGCGGTCCGTCACAGACGGCTGGTCTCTACGCGCACTCGTCCGCGCGGCTGCTGCCTCCTTCTCCTTCCGCGCCTGACGCCTCTCGTCCGCGGTCTTGGCCACCCTTGCTCGTTTCTCGGGCGGCGGGGCGGCAGCAGGTGGGGCTTGCACACCGACGGCGCCAACTGCCTCGACCGTGTCGATCAAATGGATCGACACACCCGAAAGCGCCGCCAGAGCTTTCTGCTTGCCCTCTTCTCCCCCACACACGCTCTTGCCGAAGTCCTTGGTTCGCGGGTCGAAGAACAGGGCTAGAAATTCGACGTCTTCAACCGGGGTGCCGATGTTGCGCTTAGGGTCGGATGTCGACTCCATCAGAGATAGGCAGACGTGCTAACGAACTGATGTGCACGGAGTGCGTGTGGTTCGTGTGCACTGAGTGTGTGTCTGTGTGGCTGCTGTGAAAGTAGAACAGAAAAAAATGAAAAAACATCGTGACTCCGTAGGAAAAAAAACGTTACTCCGTGGTAAAACCGCGGCTGTATTGCGGTTTTATCCGTGCTTGTGTGACGGAGTAGGGCAAACCGCTCCGTAAAAAAACGCTTGTACGGATTGTTGGGAAGCCCCACGGAGCGGAGCGGAGCGGTTTATCCGAGCGCAGAAATCTCACGGAGCGGAGCGGTTTTTTTGTTCATGTCACGGAGCGGAGCGGAGCGGTTTTTTCTCAAGGAAAAACCTCACGGAGCGGTGCGGAGCGGTTTAAACCGCTCCGCTCCGTGGAAAAAAAACGCTCTGTGAGTAACCCTGGAATTTTCCATAGGAAACTTCCTGGTTACACTACCAGAGCTACAGTATATAGCCCGAGAATACACTGGTGGGTGGGTGGTGGGTGGGGAGGACGGCGGAAAAAATATACACCGTTGAATAAACTGCTTCTTTTCGAAACTACTGGTTGCTGGTTCGGACCCGGCGCGCTGTACGTTTTTTTACGCTAACCCTAACCCCAACTCAACCGACCCGACCCAAACTTATGGCATTGGAAAGTGCTAGGTCACTGTACCAAGCACGCCTAGGCCGCGGCAAGCCGCGGCAACGCTAGGTTGCTGCACGGTGAAAAAGCTAGGTTGCAGCTGTCCCGTTTAGGCTAAGCCGCGGCGCAGGAGGGGGTAAGGGCTACGTTGCTGTGCACCGTCAGGGCTAGGTTGTTGTGCACCGTCAACGCTAGGCTGCTGTACGGTGAAAAGCTAGGTTGCCGTGCAGGGCTGCACCTACCCAAGGAATGTTCCAAGAAATGGTATCCCGACGTGGAGACCACCGCTTTCGACCAAGTCGTCAGCACTACTGCGTAAAGCTTGCTGCCTGCACCAGCCGGCTCGCTGAGAGTGGGCTGTATAGTCTTCCTGACCCTACTAGCCTTTGTCACACTAAGCTCCAAGCCATAAACGGTATTCTGAAGGAGTAACGAGCGTGGGATGTAGAGGGCTAACTCTGAGATATACCGCTTCCAAAAAATGGGAAATGTCGTCAAGTTGCCTTCAAACAAGCATATAAATTAGGAGCGAGCACGCTCCACGCCTGAAAGAGTGTATCAACGACTGCAGCCGTATTTCCCACGGTAGGGTGACCGCCAGAGGTTGTCCTTTACCATGCAGCCACCCTCAGACCATCGATACGTGGTAGGGATCAGCGTATGGACCCATGGCCAGGCTTGCCTTCGTTTCTGTTTCAACAGAAAAAGAGACATGTTTGTTGTTTAGCAAGAATCACCCGCATGGGCGTCAAACGGAATTACACGACAAGCTTCACTCTGACCTCTCAGGTCAAGGGTGAAGCTAAAACTTTTGGGGCTTCCACCTCTGATAGTGTCTTCCGTCTGTGGCCGTGCAGTTTGGCTATCTGCTGACTATGTCGCTAGGTTTCACTCTGCATGTACAACTGCCAGGGCGAGAGAGCGGGGATGAGACACCATACGTTGTGCAAGCACAGTGGGGGGGCCGGTTTAGCGACCCCCTGTTTAGCGGCATGCCCTGTTTAGCGACCCCAAAATCTCGTGACACCGCTGCACCCCGGTTTAGCGACCTACGCCGGCCGAACCCTCAATAGCGACTTGTTGGACTGTTTTCAGCGGGCAATAGCGACCATCGGTTCAAATTTTGGAGAGACCCCGCGTTCCTCCACACATCCTTCACACACATAGACACAACGCCGCGGGACACGCACACACACGCAACACGCCTTGCGCCGATGGAGAGTTGTGCAAACAGCCGGGTGTGGAACTGTGGGCACCCGACGGGCCTGTTTGCCATGGCATCGAGATGCACCGCACCTGCCACGAGTGTGCATCCAAGAGCACGCAGGCTTCCCCAACCAGTCTTGAATCCACACCCAAAAGGAAAGATAGAGGTAGATGGCGCGGGAGAATTTGGATCGCGGGGGGTGGGGAAGTGATGGCGCCGCCGCCCTACTCGGAGTCGTCGTCGTCGCATTTTGGATCGCTAGAAGAATGCGCGGAGTCGGATGGATTAAGCGAGGCAGCGTTCCATTGCGCAAGGCAAAGATGCTGTTCATCGAAGAACACTCCGCGAAACCAGCGCGACAGATGGCCATCAGAGAAAGTTTTACTCAAACATGATCGATACACTACATGCGGCAGTAGCAGAATCAAGTCACTAGCAGCGCGAGGTTCTTGGCCGCTTGGGCGTTCGCGAACTTTCTCTGTGCCATGACTTTATCCCCTTTCCCGCCTCTGTTTTTTATAATTCGCAGATCGGACTTTTACGTGTCTGGTTATTTTGTGTTGTTCTATGCACATGTACATGTAGGGACAGAATGTTCAGCATGCGGGAAAATAAGAAGACCCCAAGGCACCCTCTGTACACTTGTTGTTGAGAAATTTCCTACCAACTTCGGAGGGTACACAACAAGCTTGCTGGTTGATTGGAACTCTCCGGTTTTCCACCCTAAGGTGATTATTCTGTCCCTACTACCTTCATGTGACTGCTGCAATACGACGCATACATGACCCGGTCAAGACGATTTCTGCAACACCGCCTTTAGTCCCACGAAATGGCGCTTTTTCCCGGTTTAGCGACCACTAGTCGCTATGAGGCTCCAGGTTTAGCGACATAAATCATTTTGTCGACAAGTTGTTTGTCCTGTTCTCACCGTCGCGCGCTCTCGTTTTTGCTCCTTGGATCCCTCGCCGTTTTGATTCATGATGTCTCGCGATCTGTTTAACCTGAGTGAGAGCAAGCTCGCCCAGGCGGAGTTCAATGAGTAAGGGTGACAGCCTTCAAGCTTCTACCACCATTTGGGACCCAAGAGGTCAAAGCACACTGCCTTTTGCTCCTACTAAAAAATTGTCGGAGAATAAGCTCTTGATTGTTCCACATAGCCACATAGAAAAATAAGGATGAAATGATGGTTTCTTTGAATTTGCGGTGAATCAAACTGACAGCCGACTTTTCTCTCACCTTTGGGCGAGATACGAGCAACCGATGTGAAAGTTACTAATAACCACATGGATCTCATCGCTCGCCACGAACGCGTGGCTGCACGTGTCGCTGCACACGTGAGCCTAGCTGCATGCAAGCGCTGCAGCAGCTGGCGTGCTGCGTTGCGTTTTTCGGCTGTCTGACGTACTTCAAGGAAGATCCCGTCCATTGGTGCTTGATTTTCCGTTAGAAAACGAGCAAGCAAAGCCCTTCTCCTGATGTCAGGCTTGCTCGTTTCACAAGCGAGTTAGGTTCGGGATTAAACGAAGTGCCCAAGAGACCCAACGTTTCCACGGACGGAAAGTGAACACAGCAGTTGGGAGCCAGCAAGTGTTTTCCTTTTTCTTGACCCAAGAGGAAAGAACTTGATTGCAACGTATTCCCTTCTCGCGTTGTCGTTGTGGGTGTTTTTTTAGACCGGATCACCGACTTGAATTGGACAGCGAGACCAACAAACTAGCCCGCAGGACACAGGAACTAGCAAACGCTGTAGCCCGCAGGACACGCCGTAGCGCTACACCGATCTATCCCTTACGGTCATAGGGTTGTTCGGAACCTCTTAGTCTCTCGAAACGTTTAGACTAGTATTGCGGCCATAGTTGTACCTTCAAGCACCCGGGGCGGGTGTCTGACCATTCCGTTTTCATAGGCTTGTTTGAATGCATGTTGGACGAAAACATTTTCGTATTCACCCGTGATATTTCCCATCTACATTCCACGCTCGTTACTCCTTCAGAGTACTGTTTATTGCTTGGAGCTTGGTGTGACAAAGGCTAGTAGGACCAGGAAGACTAACGGCCCACTCTAATCGCGCCGGCTGCTGCAGGCAGCAAACGCTACGCGTGCTTGTGTGGGGTACTCTCTCTCTCTGCTCTGCCTCAAACCAACGAATTGGGAAGATCCGGTCTATTGGGCGGAATTGCTGCGGTGGCACATTCCCTGTGCCTAGCTGTTTCGCAGCAGAAAAACGTCTCTCGTGGAGGTGCTCTATAAAGTGGGACAATATTGACACAAATCTTGAAGCAACTCGGTTAGCTTGACGTACAGGATAGCTCCAAGGAACAGAGTCGTCGAAGCTGGAATCTGATGTTTGGCTACATTCATGTCTCCTTGGCCCTGCCTGACTCATTTCGTCCAGATCGATGGCGGAGAAACCTGGATTGGGCTCCGATGGAGGCGCGTTACTGACCGAAGACCCCAACGTTAACTACGGCACACAGAGGTAATTCGCCCTTCCCCGCTGCGACCAATCGTGGTAGCCAGCAGCCAGGGTCCTGTCCACGTACCGAACGAAACCTAAAACGAGTGGCGCAGCAAACAGGATACAAAGTTGCAGGAAACTTCAATCCTCGGCGTAAGACTGTGACTGCTTGAAAAAACAGTATCGTATGGCTACATACAAAGTGAAGAGATTGGCACGCAGCTTGGAAGGTGCTTCTAGCCGTCGTTCAAGCAGCAACTTGGAGAACAGCCTAGAACATTGAAAGGAGTTGTACCTCATAAGGACCCTACCAACCACTGCTTGAGGTGCACATAGCGCTGAGAAAGAGAGCCATCGAGGCTAAAAATTGGCAGTGTTGCGTTCTGGTGTCGCTCTCAAATCATTTCCCCCAGCGCCGTGACGGAAAAATATGGATTGGGCTCCGATGGAGACGGGTTATTGGCCGCCGAAGACGGTGCCCAACAAGGACAAGATGAGGTGATCCCAAGCACGCTACAGCAAGGGGAAGAAGGGCAAGGTGTGTTCGACATATGTAGTACGCCGTCTGCCTAGATTCGTTGGTGCTCGGCAAAACGTGTGTGTCGGTCCGATTTATGAAGGAAGCAGGGTGACCCCTTCAAGACTCTGTTGCCGCGCCCTTGAGACAGGAACTCGACACCAGCTTTTACCTTGAACAGATTTTGTTGCGCCTCTATGTTGCGCCTCAGTACCCTGTGCTTGTCTCCCCCCTCCCCCGTCACGAAGATCGTCTCTCTCTCTCTCTCTCTCTCTCTCTCTCTCCCTCCCTCTCTCTCGCATTTAATATTGCTGTGCCCCGTTCGTTCCCCCTCCACTAGTTGTGTTTGGCTTTATCTTGTTGCTCTTGTTCCCACCCCCATCTTCCATCACGTGTCATGTCCTTCCTCCCGCCCTCTCTCCCTCCCTTCCTCCCGCCCGCCCTCCCTCCCCCCCTAC